GGGGGGGCAACTGCGGGCGCGGGGGGCGCGACAACGGGAGGGAGTTGGTTAGAATCAGGCATGGAATGCATTTGCCCTGCTCACAAGGGGCGACCACCAGTATTCCAGCCTGTTGCATGCATGCTTCATCTCAGTCCATGGAAATGAGCGTAACCGGGAAACCACAAACCAGAGTAGCCTCACACATCGCCCAAATATGGCGATGCAACATGGCACAATGCAATTTATGCCACATTTCAAAACCTGGCCTGGCTCTTTTCTATTCCAAGCATGACGAGACTATGACAGTCCTTTGTGTCAGCCGCACAAGGACGCCTCACTTACAGGACGGCGAGGCGCAATACACATGTCAAGGGACTTTTGGCAACATGTCAAACTCAACGATAACTATGGAACCATACATTCTTAAAATAATATGTATCAACAGAGAATATGTAACAGGAATGAGCAGCACCGGGGTTCAGAACCCGAGTACACCCGTCATAGAAGCCTGTATGCAACTCCGATATAGGCAAAACATTCCAACTAAAGATTCACGCACCAAAAACACCCAGAATATCGACTCTCCGTCATCTTGAATGCTTTCCCATGTCAGGGGCTCACCACAAGTAGCCATTGACCTGCATTGTGGCCGTCGCTGATTGATAATGAAAGAGGCTTAACCGACGGTGACCTTGAAGTTGATAGGTCCAGGAGCAATATTGAGACCAACTCCGTCCAGATTGTTGGTACCCTCAGTGTAGGCATTTTTTCCCTCACCACCCTCCTTAATAGTAGAGCACTCATGACCATCGGCACAAACACTGAGGGCAGGGATGTAGCTTTTGCTCTGGGCAGCAGTCAGGCAAGAGGCATCGGCGCCAGACCAGTTATTGTTCTTCGAGTTGGCGAAGTCAAATTCTAACCAGGTGCCAGTGATAAGTCCAATGCTGTTGGTAGGAACTTCGCCAACACCACAGGAACAACCGCCCTGGCTGTTGGGCTCGGCCGCGAGAATCTTCTGACCACCGGCAGCGAGGTCGAAGGTCATAACCTGGTTGCCTATGAAAAAGCCGTTGATTCCGCCGTCCTTGGAGATCTTGAGCCAGCAGGCGCACTTCTGGGCTTTTCCAGACTTGTTCTCGATTGTCGCAGTGTATTCATAGTCTTTGGCGTCGTCAACGAGCATCAGATTACAGCCATAGTCGTTGGGGGCACCAACATTGCCCTTGTAGGCAATATCAGCGGCGGAAGCACGCTTGGAAACTCCACCACAGAACTGCTTCTTGCCGCCAGATCCAGAGCCGCTTGAGGAGGTAGGTTTGGCGGCACTGGTAGTAGCTGGGGCGGGCGGGGGAGATGTAACGGATGTAACGGTGGGTTCAGCAGGAGATGGAACGACGGCAGCCTTGTTGTTGACAACAGCTCCTTCAGGCTTAGCATTCATGTAGAAGTCGATACGCTTGTCAAGTTGGCGGTGAAAATTCTTGTGGGCGAAGCCGCTGGGATGGGCAGCGACGCCGAGGGCAGCAGCCACAGCGAGAGTTGTGGCAGAGAACTTCATTCTGTTGTTTTTTGTGTAAGAGGGATCGTTATAATATAAATGTGTGGTGCGGTGGTTGAGTTCCGAGTCAATCGGTCTCGTTTCGACAGGTCCAGGTATTCGCAGAATATCGGGAAGCCTACGGAACCAAAGATGCCGGCAATGGTTTGTTGAGGGAATGTGGTAGTTCTCCGGGTAGGGGCAGGAATCCAAGAGAACAGAAGATGGAAGAGAACGTGGGCCGACGTAGGCTGAGGCGCTGGGCTGTTAAGGAATGACTTGAAAGGCAAAGGCAAAGGCAAGGAAGGGCTGGATGTGTTGTTGAAGGATGGTCTAAATAAGAGCAAGGGAAGCAGGGCAGGGCAAGGAGACTTGAAAAGGAGCGTGGAAAGGGAAATGAGCGTGTAGGGTGCTGGCAGGGGGGGATGCGCCACGGAGAATTCCAAGGAACCAGTCTTGAGGACGAGCCGTTTGGTTACCGTTCAGTATTGGAGAAGGGGGGGGGGGGGGCTTGG